ACTGTCTCTTCTCTCCTTGTGGGGATGATTTTTGGGGCAAATACACCTTAAAATACTGCTGAGGCCTCAATACAAACTTTGGCCCCTGCTGCCAACTCTGTGTTGTCCTTGGGCTGTCCCTGCTGCATGGACCTCATGTGTCCCATGCCCCTGTTCCCATGCCTGGCCACAGCTCTGCTCAGGGTTTGCTCATGCGAGCAGCAGCGCTGTGCCACTGGAAGGTGGACTCTGTGTTGTCCTTGGGCTGTCCCTACTGCATGGACCTGATGTATCCCATGCCCCTGTTCCCATGGCTGGCCACAGCTCTGCTCAGGGTTTGCTCGTGCGAGCAGCAGCGCTGTGCCACTGGAAGGTGGTCAGAGCCTGGAGATGATCTGCCTGGCCAGGTCACACCAGCCATGCCTGGCCTCTGATCTCCCCATCCCCAGCTAAGCCCACCTCGTTACGTGGCACAGCACCTTCTTGAGGCTCCCACAGTGCCTGTGCTTGCAGCCAGTGGGGACCCACAGTTCTTCCTCAACAGCCTTATTTATTTTCTAAGTCACTGTACCTTGCTGTGGTGCATTTCTCACTAGCCAGCATTGGGTTTTTTATCCCTATTACTGAGCCGAGATAGGAGAAGGCTGGGCTGACACGTACGCTCTAAATTATGCTGCTGTATCTCCAGTGCTGTCAGTCATGTTGCTCCCAGGCCTGGGATCTTGCAGATGCTCCAGCAGCAGGTACCTAAGGATCAAAGGTTTAGATTAGTTCTTGCTGTCACAAATGTTTTGTATCTAATTTCTCCTTGAGGAGAGTTGGAGGGAGGATGGGCTGGTGGTTGGGTAGTACATGCACCCTGGAGCATCATTGTCATGACCAGAGCTTCATCTCCCTCTGCCCTCATGTTGAGGACCAGCTCCAGGTTACAGAAACACCTGCCTCGCCAAAAAATTTGTGTGTGTCAGATGAGGAGGTGGGTCACATTGAAGCCCTGGCACTTTTTGTTGGTGAGATGTTGTCTGACAGGCGGGCACTGGTGGGTCCCACACTCCAGCTGTGCACTGAGGGTTAACAGGGTGCCCCATGGGTCAGTACGCCACAGCCCCCTGTGTGCAAAAAGCCCACCCCAGCTCCTCCATCTTCTCAATGCAAGGTAGGACAGCCTGTGTGTTTTCTGGTGGTGCTTTTAAATATGTTGGAGAGGTCGTGCTCTGACTGAGATTTTCTCTGCCAGTACCAGGGTAGCTGCTTGGCTGGTTTGGGCTGAGCTGGCCCGCAGCACATCACTGCACAGTGTGCATCCGCCAGGAAAGCTCTCTGAGAGGGCTTGGGGCATTTTGGTTAGTCACCAGCAAGGGTTTTCCTCCACTCTTCCCACTCTGCAAAGAGTGAGAGATGGGAAGAGGAAAAAACCCTTATGCTGGAGCTGCTCAGCACAGGTGATGCTCCCTGGGGAGCCTCCCAGTGAGTGAGAGCCTTGGGAGTTCATTGTAGGAGCAGGGAAACTGAGGCACGGCCGGGGGTGAGGTTGGGGCTTTCTCAGAGCTGGAAATCAGTCGCAGGAGCAGGGAGTTTTGACTGAATGCATTTCTTGTCCTTGCTGAGCATCTTCCTTGGAGCAGGTCCTGCCTTGGTGCCTACTTGGTAAAACTCTGCTCTTCAAAAGCAGAGGGAGCGGGGAAGGCAAGTTGCTGGATTCCTGAAGACAACTAAAGCCATGTGTATAACTGCCTTGTGTATTTGCAATTATTATATTTTGCTTTAATATCTATTCTTCTAATATCTGTTCCCCCCTGTTAGAATAAACCAAGGTAAAATAAAGGCTGAGTTTTCCCTCCCTTGGAGGCACTTTTCCCTTCACGTTAATACACTGCTGTTATCCATCACCTCTCGTTGCTGCTCGGTTTGGAAGGGTGGCTGCTCAGGGAAGGGTAGTAGCATTAGTTTCTAAAGCTGTGTAAAGATCCCCATGGAAGCAATTACCAGATGGATTACCCCTGGCTTTGCTGCTGTGAAAAGGACGTGGCAGGTCGAGGAAGGCGAGTGTATTAACAGCACGATCCCTTTCTTGCTCGGGAGGGGCGGTTTGGATTAACCGCCTGCTTTTTAAAGGGCTGGGTCAGAGCAAGACTTTGGCTGCTGGATCTTTTACCCTTCCCTTCCTGCTTCTCTTTCCCCTCAACATGCCCCATCCTGGGCTGTCCTCTGTCATGTGGGACCCACAGCTCCATGGGGAAGGGGGAGACCTCCAGCCTTTGAGACACTCGGGCTCTGTGGTTCATTAGGAGCTTTGGCTTTTATGCAGAAGGACAAGCAAAGCTCGGCTGG